GCGCCCCGGCCCCGCCCCGCCGAGGCTCCGCCCCTACCCCCCCGCGGCGGCCGGCTGCCTCACCTCTGGCGACCGGGGCCGCTTCCGAGCGGATATGACGTATCTGGGAGCGACGAGCTGGCGCGGGCGCACGGACCTGGATGCCTTCCGGGTCGCGGTTGGCCCACACTGGGTTCCCCTCGGGCCGCTGTTCCGAGTGTTCTGTAGTTGGCGACCGGGCGACAGGTTCCGGGTAGGGGCCCTGGTCAGGCCCAAACACTCTGCGGCCTCTCGGGGGCAGTGGAACACAGGCTTAGCCGGAAGCAGGGCTCGGTCGCCCCGGGGGGCTGCTGGTGGTGGCGGGAGTCCAGGGTCAGGCTGCGCCTAGTTCCACCTTCCCTCGTTCAAGCAGTGACCGAGTATCTACTTCCAAACTGTGGGACATCAGTGGGCTTGTCCGCCTTTCAAAACTATTTGGCGCCATTAGCAGGGTCTGAGGGCTTCACGGAAAAGGAATGCAAACAGATAGCATAAGTAGGGCAAGGAGGTGGTGAGGGTGTAGAAAGGACATGGAGAGACAATAAGCAAGTGCTGAGGCTAAGGGGATTTGCATATTCGGAAAGGCTGCTGGGCAACTGCAGTCAGTCCGCCAGTGGGACAGTGGCTACCCACTGCTCGGGAAAAACTTGTCACAGCTGTGATGGAGGCTAGTGGTCCTGAGTCACAGGTACTTGCCCACAGGAGGTGCTGAAGACACATCGCTGAGAATGTCAACAAAACAAATCAGCATCTGTATTTTAATTTAATTTTTTCAGGCACATAGTGACTTTAATAGTAAAACTATTAGTTTAAACTTAAATACATTTTACTTATTTAAAAATTGTGTTTCATAAAGTTCAGATGGGTAGTATATGTGATATGTAAACAGATAAACACATGGTGGGGTGTATGCTCAAGAGGGTTTGATTTATGTCAGCGATCAAAAACATTCAGAGGCCCTAGCTCTAGGCTGTTCTTTAGCCTCAGAGGACCAGTAAGGCATAAGCCATTTGTGTGTGTGTACTGTTTCTCAGAACATCCTCCATACCATCCCTCTCAAATGAGGGTGAGGGGGTCCTGACGGAAGCAGCTTGGCACGGGTGAGAGGCCTGCGTTGGGCACAGTGCTGCAACGAAGAGGCAGTTTGCAAAAGGGCAGGGGGGTGGGGCTGTCTGAGGGCGGGTATTACCGGCCAGGGGAGAAGGGGAATGGGTCAGCCAGAAGAGCTGGGGAAGGAAAACCTAAAAGACTTGTCCTCCCTGGAGGAAACCTGTGATTTAATAATCCAACTAAATGGAAATTGGTGCCCGGGCTCAGAGGGGAGTAAATGGAGTTAGAAGGCTGCTCCCCATTACTGTCAATCACTTCAGCCCTCCCTGAAAAGCCAGAGTGGGCTGGTGGGGTGTCTGGCATGAGGGAATTGGGAGGCCTCTACAGGACAAAAGGACGGCTAATTAAAGGCAAGAGAATGTTCGTAGTTGGTTTAGGGGATTAATAATTTACCCCAGGAGAGGAGGAAGGGCTCTACAAATCAATCAAAGATATCTAGTCCCAAAAGATAAGTCATCTGGACTGAGAGAACATATAGAACAAACGACAGTGACAGCCAAAACATAAATGCAGTTCAGATGGGAGACCTGCCACTGTACTATGTAATAGGGGCACAATGGCGACTCTGAGAGGTATGCTTTCCTCCTGGTCTCCGGGCAGCTGTCTCCAGGAATACTATGTGATAGATAAGCATGCATGGAAGACATGTTCTCTACAAGCACAAGTATGGCATGCATTTGGTATTTACAGGGAAGTGGTGGCAACTCTCATTTTTGCCTGCCCAGCATCAGGTAACAGCACCTCAATTTTCTTTGTGGGAGCTGTCCCTCCTCCACACTTGGTACACAAGGTCTGGATGTGGGTCACTCCAACACTGGCTTCTGTGGTGGGCACATGCCTAGGTGCAGCCAATGGGGAGCCAGACATACTGACACAAGGATAAGTCCATAATCTGACCTGGACCAATGAGAGCTAGTTCCCAGGGATTTGTACTACAAGTATTGGGACGGTGGGAGCTTTTTGGCTGGGATTGCTAAACTGGGACCTCTATTACTGCTCCCCCTATGTGGGGGAGACAGCATGTTTGAAAATGAAGCAAATACAGAGAAAAGTAGAGCCAAGAAATGGAGGGAGCTCATGTCCTGATAACGTGATAGGGGCTAGAATCACCTGTGGGCATTGGGGTCCAATATGGGAACACTAAGTGCCCCAGCCCCTGTCATCACTTATTTTTGCTTATGTCAGTTTGAGTTGGGATCCTGGCACTTATAACAAAGATGACCTAACTTTAGTAAGGGTAGGTGGGGGGAGGGGTACCACCCTGGTGCCCCGGGGGGAGGAGGACTGAAGGATAAAGCTTTACCTCCACTTTGGAAATTCGGGCAGGCTGTGCTCCATACCATCATCAGCTTCCTAGCCTGGGTTGGGCCAAGTGGAGGATAAAGGGGCTTGCTGTTTCCATCTGTGTGATTCTGGCGACTCCCAGTGAGGACACAGCCCCCTGAGGAGTGAGGGACCATCACTGGGGCTCACTCCTACATTCCCAGATGTAACCCAGTCCAGGGCAGGCCCTTGGTGGATGTTTGGGGAAGGTCAGGCAATTACAGCAGTTGTATGAGAGGCACGGTGGGGCCCACATGCCTCCCAGCCTCAAGTGTGGACTTTCAGTGAGGTTCTGTTTCATTTGGGAACAAGCTACCAACCTTGGGGAGCCCCACTTACCTGGCTTCTAACCTCCCGGCTCCAGTGAAATTTTCCTGAACTCACCAGGGACTTTTCTCTCTCCTGTAAATGGGGATGATAGTCGTTTCTCGCTAGGGTTGTCATGAGGCCCATGCGGGTAGTATGTGTATAACCGGAATGCCAATGGGGTGAGGGGTGCAGATGGAACACTGGCCACATGGTGATCAATGTGGCAGCCCAGTGGGTACACAGGGCTTCGTGATACTGTTCTCCTTCAGGGGACGTCTGAAATTTTCTATAATAAGAGGTTGAAAAGTGAATACTTGTATGATACTACAGTCGTAGATACGTGTCATTACCCGTCTGTCAAACCCACAGACTGTAGAACACCAAGAGGGAACCCTACTGTGCACTCGGGTTTGGGTGATGATGACATGTCAGGGTAGGTTGGGGATGTGGGAACTCTCTGTACTTTCTGCTCAACTTTGCTGCGAACCTAAAACTGTTCTAAAAAAGAAAGTGTATAAATAATGAATGCACATAAAGCACTTGGCTCAGGGTCAGGCTGGGAGTGGACTTCTATGATGAGCATCTGGGCCCTCCTTGCGTCTCCACTTCCCTGACCTTTGAGGTCCTGGCATCACAACTGCAGCCTCTCCTCTGGGTGGTCCCTGGGCCTCTCACTCCTCTTCTGCCTGCTCCTTAAATACTTTGCTTTCTTGACACTCTGTTCACATTCTGGTAGCAATGAATTCCTAGGAGGTGAGGGCTCGGGAAGCCTGTCTCCACAGCAGGACTCGTGAAGTCCTTCGCCCCTGCCTCAGCCCCCTCAAGGTTGCCTGGCTGGCTCCTGGACTCCCCAAATCTAGGAAGTTCAAACTTTTCTTCTTTTTCTGACCTCGGACCGCTTCTTTGCCCCCGGATGTGCCATTCCAGCAATACTCCTTATAGTTTCTTGCTGGTTCTCACTTAATGCTCATTAAAGGGAAACAGAACTGCCATCTTCAAGAAATGCCAAATAGCTCACGTGACTTGGGCTTCGAAGTCCTGATCTCAAAGGCATCCAAAGTCAAGTGCTGCAGGTAGACACCCTAGCTCTTGAGGGAGGCTGTGGGGAGTGAGGAGGCACCTGGCTGGTTTTAATCCTCATCCCTGTCTCTACCGGCCTTGGAGGTGTCTGAGGAAGTTGGTGGGTTTCCTGCATCCCCAGAGGGCAGAATCATCTCTCCTGGGCAGGGCTATGGGGACGCCAGTTGGGGAGCTGCCTGTCAGTGGCAGGAGCCCTGAAAACAAAGGCTGCGGGAACAGGTCCCTCCCCGCAAGGACAACGCCACCCGACTCCCCACTGAATGCACTTGATTCGATTGGGGGCCACTAATTTATTAAGAGGTCATCTAGAAGGTGGGCCCCCTGACAAACTGCAGGAGCCATCTGCTGCGCTAAGGATGGTGATCAGGTGCCCCTTTAGCGCCCCTGCCAGCCTGGCTCCAAGGAGGCCCCTTCCTGCAGAGAGCAAGGCAGGAGGCGGCCAGCGTCCTGAAGCGGCCACCAGGTGTGGCTCATCGGAAGGACTCATGCTGGAAAGAGGATTAGCCCAAAGAGCAGCAAGTGGCTCTGGGGTGGAGAGATTCTGGAAGATGCCCAGCCCCTGCAGGGCTGCTACCACATTTGTGCGGTGAGGGGGCGGGCACACCCCGGGGCCCTTGTAGCTGCAGGTGCTTGGGGATCAGGTTGGGGCTCCCCAGGGGAGGCAGCTTTAGAAAAAGGAGATGGGTACCTGACTTCCCCTGTCCAAGTGAGCCGCGGCTGGCCCCTGCAGCCCCCCCCACCAGTCACACTTGGGCCCCGGTCACTGCTTTGGAGCCCCGACGTGTTGGGGCAAGAGCGTTCCCGGCTGGGCGCGGGGTCAGGCCTCAGCCCTGCCCTGGCACCACCACTGCCTTCTCCCGGCCAGGCACACGCAGCCTCCCTCAGCCTGGTCCTTGCGCTCGGCCAGCTAGCTGGCCGTGGTCCTCCTCGGGATGCAGCCTTCCATCTCCAGCGCCTCAGGCCAGCCTTCGTACTTATTCGTGTGCTTACTGTTCTTCACGTGCTGTGGGGTTTGGGGAGCAGGAAGTCATGGCCTCAGCCCTCAGGCATAAGGGTCAGACAGAGCTTTCAGTCCCCTTCTCATCCACAAAATGGCAATAGCTTCCCTCACAGGTGGAGTGTGGGGGAGCCAACTGCTCTGCACGTGTGTGGGCCTGGCACACACAGGGAAGGTAAGGAGGGAACATGATGTACGTTCCCGCCCTCACCTGGCCCGCAGGGAGCTGCTGGAAGCTTCAGGAAGAACAAAGCCAGAGGGCGCATTTCTTCTCGGGGTGCTGAGTTGCTCTTTTCTGGCAGCCAGAGCCTTCCAGAAACCACTGAACAGCCTATTTGCCTTGTCCTGCTGTGTGTGTGTGGGGGTGGGCGGGGTGGCAGGACTGGGAAGCACTGTGGCTTTCACCAGGCTAGGAACCTCCCACAGATGAGGATGGTGCCTGGGGCTTCGCAGCCCCTCACGTGGGGCTTGACATGTGTGGCTCTGGAGGAGCAGTCGACCAGAGGGCAGCAGGGGCTGGTGGGAGCAGGAAGTGCGGTGTGAACCAGGGCACTGGGTCGCAGCAGGATGGGACCAGCCTGAGCATCTTGAAGATGTTTGGGAGAAAGATTTCTTAATTGTGAGTCTTGCCATTGTGAAAGCTTTGCCATTTAAAGACCCTGGAGGGGTCAAAGTTACTGGCCTTCCCCATGCCGACGGCGAGGGGTCTGGAACTACCCTGGGTAGGGGTGCTGGTGCTGGAGGAGAATTCAGGGAAGCCTGGGGCGTGGACTGAAGGCACACTGGCGGGACGGAGGCAGAAGGGGTGGGCACACTGCTCTGGGCTCTGCACCCGTACCTGCTCAAAGGGGCTCTTGTTCTGCACGCCCTTGGCCCCCACAAACACCCAGCTGTCCCGAAAGGCCAGATCCTTCACGTTCTTGCTGCCCAGATCGCTGAAAAGCTTCCTGGTCTCTTCATTCATCCTGCCACACAGAAGGAAGAGATATAAGCGGTCGCCGTGGGAGGGTGAGGCTGAGGCTGGCCTCGGCAGTCACTTACTTGGTGGCTGGGTCGTCGTAGGATGCCACAAATACCAAGGTGCCTTCATGCAGTGGCCGAATAAACTTCAGCAGGTCGTTGACATCTGGGGTGACAGGTCCCATGAAACATGGAGCATCAGGCACCACGGAGTGCCCATTCCCCACCGACCCCTGTTCTCCAAACAAGGAAACTCAAGTAGGGATCAGGCCAGGGACACGCCCACCAAGGGTCGCCAAGTAAGTGAAGGGACAAACTGGTATAAGAAGCCAGGGCCACCCCTATGACCATACACCTGCCTTTTCCAAACCCAAGGAAGTGCTCAAGAAGCTGCAGTGAATGAACAGAGGGCAGCACTTCGGGGGAAAGATGCCCAGTCATTTTGCTGCACATGGTGACCACTCACCTCCTGCCCACATGTCGAAGGCCCGGGCCTCGATGAGCTCACCACTGACCCCTGGGTTGAGAGGGAGGGAGGGGGTCCTGCTGGGTGAGCCGTCAGGGCAACTCCACCCTACCACCTCAGCCCCCCGAGACAAGGCTAAGGACACGGCACTGGCCACTGAGTGCAGACCTTCTGGAAGCTTTTCAAACATTCCCTCATATTCATGCCCACTGTGCCCCCTTGTTCAGACAGCTGCAGCCCATCCAAGGCTGTGGAGGTTCTGTCTGCCATTTGAGGCTCTCCAGGGGCTTCCTAGGAAATCCTCTCCAACTTCCTGGAAACTTCTGGTTCTTTACTGCTACTGTGCTTTTGTTTATTGGGTCACTTCTTCTGTGGAACATTCAGCTTGCACAGACCCCTTCCCAGGCCTCCTTGGGAATTCCCAGAGGGAAGGGGAGGGGAGGGCCAAGGCCAATGTCCAGATGCCTCCTCATGGGGAGGGCACAGGGAAGGAGGGTGGGAGGTCATGACATGGCTTCTCCGATCTCAACTCTGACCCCATATCACAGGCACTCACCATTCACCAGGGCGATGTTCAGTCCACGGCCCACGTTGTCCTTGACACTGCTCATGAGCCTAGCGGGGTGGGGGTGGCACATTTGCTCCACTTCCCTTCTCCTATGCCCCCCCCACTGTCCACCCCAAGGAGCTCACATTTTATCTTCGAGGCAGATCTTTGGTCCGATGACATTGGCAGCCCCGCTGACCATGCGGAAGGCCAGGTGCTCCTCAGGACACGGCTGGGGCAGGCCGCATTTGTACTTCCTGGCTCGTGGCTCTGAGCAGGGACAGCGGGAGTGACCCACAGGCCTGGCCCTGGGGTCACCTGAGATCTGAGAGGGGAAGGTCAGGACCAGCCCACAGGGAGGCATGAGTGGCCACAGAACAGGGGACCAACAGGGGATGGAGAGGACATGGCTCAGGCCAAGGCCAGGGACACTTCCATAGACACTCTGCGTCCTACTGGGGCTGGCCTCAGGGCAAGGTGACGGGGACCTCAGGGAGGCTTTTCTGCCCCCGGTGGGAGAGGGGAAAAGATGTAGGAGGGCTGGCCTTGGCTGTGGCCCTGCCGGGAACAGAGCACAGGTGGGGAAGGAGGGAGCAGCTGGGAGGGTGACTGCAGAAAAGTGGTGACTCCCTCGGGCAGAGGTGGGAGGACAGGAGCAGGGCAGCCTCCGTTACAGGTTAAATTGTGACCCACAAAAGATGTGTTGAAGTCCTAACTCCCAGCACCTTCGAATATGACCCTGTTTGAAAATAGGCTCACTGAAGACATGATTTGTTAAAATGAGCTCATCGCGGAGTAGGGTGGCCCTAAATCCAATGACAAGTGTCCTTATAAGACACAGAAGACAAGACAGATACAGAGGAGAAGGCCGTGTGCAGACAGAGGCAGAGACAGGAGGGACGTGGCCACAAGTCAAGGAACACCCGGGGCCCCTGGAAGCCCAAAGAGGCAGGAAGGACCCTCCTCTGGAGCCTGCAGAGGGGCTGTAGCCCTCCAACAGCTAGATTTCGGACTTCCGGCTTCCCGAACATTCCTGAGAGAAGAAATGTCTGTCATTTAATCCATCCAGTTTGTGGTATTTTATTGCAGCTGCCCCGGGGAAACTGATACAGATTTTGATGGCAGGAGGCGGGGGGTGGGGTGCACAAACTGGAAACGGCCTCGGAACTGGGTAATGAAGGGAGGCTGTAGAATTCTGAGGTGCAGCTAGACAAGGTCTAGACTGCCTCATGGGAGTGTTAGTAGAAATAAGGACGTCAGAGGCGCTTCTGGTGGGAGCCCAGACGGAAGGGCGCGGAGAGAGAGCACATGGGGCCCGGAGCGCTGCCGCCGATGGGCGCCTTAGAGACGCTTCTGACGTTGTCTCGGGTGGAAATGGGGAACATGGTACTGGACACTGGAGGAAAGGGGGTTCTCGTCATAAAGTGGCAAAGAACTTGGCCAAATCTGGTTCTAATGTTTTGTGGAGAGCAGAACTTGTAAAACACTGAGCTGGGATCCTTAGCTGAGGAGATCTCCAAACACAGCGCTTGAGAGCACAGCCTGGTTTCTCCTTGCTGCTCACAGTAAGATGTGAGGAGAGAAAGGGAAGTTGAAAATGGAATTGTTAAGTACAAAGGAACCAGAATGTGTAAATTTGAAAAATACTCAGTCTAATCATATTGCAAAATATGAGAAAGCAGGCTCTGGATAAAACACCAAGGCTGTGGTCGGAGGACCAATTACTAAAGAGCTGAGGCATGTGACTTGTGGTTCCACTCAATCCTGTCAGCAGAAGCCAGGAATCGAGATCTGCGGGGCCCTCCTGTCTCCGACCTCAGAGTCTCATGAAATGCACAAGACACCAACGAGGTTTTTGAGACACTGCCATCCTGGGCTGAAAGGGACAGAAAAAGGACAGAAGGAAGTAAGGATGGCTCTGAGGACAGAGATGGCACAGGCCCAGAGGGTAAGACTACCCCCACCAGAGGGTGCCCCCCCCCACTCCAGTGGGGCCAGAGGACAGAGCATTCGGCCACAGAGGATTCTTCTCAGGCCTGGAATCCTGATGGCATTTGCCCTGCTGGGTTTCAACTTGCTGGGATTGCTGACCCCTTTATTCCTTCCAGTTTCTCCCTTTTGAAATGGGAATGTCTATTCTATGCTTGTCTCACCAGTGTATTGTGGAAGCAGGTAACTGGTTTTCTACTGGAGCTCCAGTAGGCTGTGAAGGCTAGTTTGGGGAGGGATGGATGGAGAACAGAGACCCTGGAGGACTTGAGGCAGGCCGTGCTATGAGGGCTGGGCACGGGGGAAGAGTGGGGAGGTGATGGAGCCTTACCTGTGGTCACTGAGTTCTCTGGGCCTGTGGGTACAGAGAGTTGTTTGTGTTAGGGTGGAGGCCTCCAGGGGCCGGCAGCAGGGCGCCCTGGCCCTATACCATGAACTCAAGGTGGAGGGTCAGTCAGGCTCAGGGGCCAGGGGCTAAGCCAGATGCAAGCCCCCTGCTCTGGGAAAAGGGTAAATTACAACTGTAAACAGTACTTGGGGGAAGGGCTACTAATAACAAGGTATAGAGTTCCCTCCCCATCCCAGAGGCCAGGATAGAGCCTGCAGGGAGCAGCTGGGATATTGTCCCCAACGTTCAGCAGAATCCCCCTGCCCCTCACTGACTCCGCTGACTCCAACAGGCCACAGAGTTCTAATTAGCAGGGACTGGAGTTCCCAGCTGAAGCAATTGGGTGGTAGGGGGAGGACTGTGCTGGGTGCCAGGAGACAACCCGAGGGCAGCTAGAGGTGGCCTGCCAGGAAGAGACCGAAACCCCAGGCCGCCCCCACCCCACCCTGAGCCTCTGCCCACAGGCCCAGAGTGCCCCCCCAGAGCGGCCTCCACAGGAGAGTGAAGAAGCGTCCCACACTTACTGGTGAAGAGTTGCTGGATGCGAGGAAAGCCACTGCCAGGCCCACCCAGGAGGATGCTGACCACGATCCAGGTAAGGCCCACGGTGACAACCAGGGCCACAATGCGGAGGGGGCCTGGAGGCAGGACAGACAGGGGCAAGGCCACCTTGGTTGCCAGTTGCCAGTGAGCTCCCGAATGACCCTGGGGCCTCTCAGTACTGAATCTCCCTCCCACTTGGGAAGAAGTGAGCAGAGGACAGGAAGGTGGGGACCTGCTGCCATCTGCCAGGCCTGAGAGGGGGACTTGAGCTCCTGGTAGGTAGAAGGAGGCCCCTGAATCCAGGGCTTTCAGCTTGGTTCTCTGTGGCATGTGTGGAGGAGCCTAGCAGACCTTACTGCTCAAGAGGCTCCAAGCCTCCCTCAGGAGCCCCTTAACTTTCTGCCTCTGAGGCTACCAACATATTTATATCCCATCTGTCCTGTCCTCTTTTTCTCCTGTCATGATGGAGGAGAGGGTCCGTACTCCTTTTGAAGACCAGTTCCTGCAGCTGTTGTGAGCTGGACCCTAAGCTCTCCTCTCAATGATTGTCATCCTCTCTCACTCTCCTCGACCTGCAACACCGCCCATTGTAAGAAAGCACAGGAGAGGCCCTCCTTCAAATCACATCCAGCCACTGACTTCTCCCCCCTCCCTTCGTCTTCCCCAGTCTCACCATCCACTCTCTTCCAACCTACTCCAGTGTGGCCTTATCTCCATCACCCCAGCGAAACAGCTTGTGGCCAAGGCCATGTATCACCTTCTTGGAGTCAACTTCCTGGGTCACCCGTTGGCCCCAATCTTCCTGACCTCTCAGTTGGCTGCCAGGTCCTCCTGCTGGAAACACTTCTCCAGTGGCTTCTGTGACAGCACATCCTAACCCCATCTGGATGCTCCTCATCCTCCCTACTTAGATTGTCCTCCTCTACTCTCCCCTGAAACGCTGGACGTGCCCGGCTTCTGTCCCAGGCTGCGTTCTCTGCGTACAGTATCCTCTTCTCAACTCCCCGCCTCGAATTAACCCGCAGAGCAGTGACTATTTTTTGCTCCAGCCCTCGCTGATCTTGAGGCCACACCCTCCCAGCCAGTTCCTCACCAGCCAGCTCTACTGCGATACATTTACAAGGCTGCAACCTTTAGCAGTTCTGAACTGCAATTCTTGAGTTCTGCTCGCCACCGCCCACCCTCATCTGTTCCTTCCCCAGCCAAGCCGTCTATGTCAGTTGTCAGGCCGAGGGCAGGTTTGGCACCGGTTCTTACCCAGCCCCATCGCCACTCCGGTCAGTTTCTACTCTAAGACCACGCCTCTCCGCTACTGCACCCCGCCCCCTCTCCACCTAGCCGCCATGCTCCCTGGAGCAGCCTCTACCACCACTCGTTTTTTCAGACAGCGGCCAGCTATCCGAGTTGGGAGAAATCGACTACCCTGATCCTCCTTTCACAGCTCTTGAAGTCCTGGGAGGTGAAAGGATTTACTCAAGGTCACAGAATGAGTGTTTGTGCGGTGCCCTTCGTTTCCAAAAACCACACTCAGTGGTCTACTCGGGCCCCTCCAGGCAGACCTTCGGACACCTGGGCCTCCAGTCCGGTCCCCTTTCCAACTGCCACCCGTTCACTGTGGAGGCCACCCACCTGCCAACCTCATGTCCACTTCTACCGCTGGGTTGGGGCCGCCGGCAGGTGCACTGTTTGGGGACCGTGCGCTCTGGGGACAATAAAGCAGAAGAGCAGGTTTGGGTGGGACTCAAGGATGAGCCTGGGCTTGGCCCCTGTTGCTAGGAGGTCGCGATCGGTGCACCGGGTTGTTCGTCCAACCAGCTGGTCAGGCTTCTCGCGCATGCGGAGAGAAGCCCTGCCAGGGCAGGAGGGTCCTCCGGAACTCGTCGGCTCACGATCGTGCCCACGGGAGCCTCTGGGGCCGCGGAGTAAAGGTGGTTCTCCTGGACAGAGGCCTCCTCCGTTGGAGGCCCTGAGCTCAGGCCGCCCCCCTCCGCCCCAAGGCTGGGGGCGGACGACACGGGCTAGGCTGGTGGAGACTTGCCTGGCCGTGGGGGAGATGCGAGCTGGGTTGGGGGCAGCCTGGTCAGGCCGGCCGCTCGGCTCCGCTCCGCGACGGGAGGCGAGGGAGGTGCGCAGCTCTGCCCGACAGGCCCGGCAATGGCGGCCCGGGGCGGGGCCGCGGCCCGCAGGCACCACCCCTGCCGTCCGCTCGGGCCCTGCCGCCGGGCGGTCAAAGGAGAGGCGGCTGTGGAGTCCCCACCCCGGGCTCCGCGCACCCCCGCCCACAGGCCCGCCTCCACCATGCGTCCTGGGCGCCGGGTGGGAGGGGCCCGCGCCGGCCCCGCCTCTGAGTGCGCTTCGCCGGGGCGGCCCGGCCGCCGCAGGGGAGGAGCCGTGTGGCCTCCGCGCGGATCCCACGTCGGCTTTGAAGCACAAGTCTCCCCTCAGGCTCCTCCATGGTGGGAGATGCCAGCCTTCCTAGGCTTCGAGGGCTGGGGTTGAGCTCGTGGCCTGCAGTCGGATTCCTGAAGCCTGGGCGAAGCGGATGGATCTGGGGGCGTAATTGGAAATTGTTTTAAAATTGAGATGTGGGTCTTTCAGAAAGCTGGAGGCACAGAAGAGTACACGGGGGAAAACAGGAGAGCGCGACGAGCCCGAGGCCAAAGCGATGCCTTTCCTCACACTCTGTTCTCTAGACGGAAGCACGTCCACACGGTCTCGCGTATCGCCGACGGCGGCGAGCTCCTGCCCGCGCCCCTCCTGCCCTCCTGAGGCTGGAAGGCAGCCGTGACACCGCCCAACGCACCAGCAGAGCTGCACCCGCCTCGCTCCCTGCAGGGCAGCAGCCCGGCGCCCTGAGAGCCCAGGAAACATCTGTGCCCTCTGACCCAATCATCCCATTTACGGGAACCTTCCTAAGGAAAGAATCCGAAATAGATAAAGCTTGTAGTGCCAGGCAGTGACAGCTCTGGCTAGAATCCAGTAGCTTCTCCGTTGGTATACACAACATACAAGATCAAGGGAGTCAGTTTCAGGCCCCTGCTGCTGCAGTCGGGGATTAGTATTTTTTTTTTTTTTCTTTTTCGTGAACTTGGGATCAGAGATAATGCTGACCATCCGTGAAACGTACAGATCTGTGAGTAGGGAACCCTGGGTACGACGGGTCTTTCCTGCAATGCTTGTAGTTGTGGTGCCCAGTGGAGGGAGCTCCTGGCTACCCACACTCTTGGGCGGCCAGCCAGGCATGGGGCACCTGCCAGACTGGTAGCTCAGAGACAAGTGTTTACGTCTTGCTCAGAGCAGGCATTTCGGAAAGTTTGGTTTAATGAGTCCCCCTGAGGGTCCAGAGGCACATCCACCATCCCCACAGGCACCACATAAGTGATGGGACCCAATTCCAGATCTTCTGGGCCTTCTGGGGCAGCCTTGCACAACTCCCTTATTTTCTCTGGGACTGCTTTTCAGTCAGGACATAGAGAAGATTACACTCTCATGTCCTAGGCCCTCATGTCTCCTCCTGCCCCAGTGCAGGCAAGGGGCGTGACGTAGCACAGAATGTCTCCTCTGGGTGCTCTTACCTGTGCCATAGCTGAGGTGCCACTGGAGTCCTCAACAGCTCTCTCGTTTGCTTCTCTCAGTGTAGACGCTGAAGCGGTTATCAGTTGATGGCCATCATATGGGCCTGCGTGCTTCTACCCCTGAGTCGGTCTCCTCACCTGGGACCTCTTGCCTCGACTCTAGATTAGGCGATCAGATCTCAGGTGACAATTGATTGCTCCCACCTGGTCCGTCCTGCCTCTGCCTGTCTTCAATAACCCACAGCTTCAGGGCCAGTGGAATATGGCCTCAATGGCCCCTCCTTCCACTTTCCAGAACAGGCAGCAAGATTTGCACATGACTGTCCTCATCTGGGCTCTCACATCTCTACCTAGTGCCTCATTCTCCTTTCTTGCACGGGGGTCAAGACCTGGGCTTGCACTGTAATGCCATCACCTGGGCCCTCACATCTCAGGCTGCTGTAGCCACACTCTGATGGGGCTCGGGTCTCTGCCCCAGCATAGCTCGCACCAGCTCACACGGCTGCAGCGCTCCGTGGGCATCGTGTCTTAGGTTCTCACTCTCCGTCTCAGGGTAGGGATCCAGATCTGAGCTAACAGTCAAATGACCTCACCTGTCCCTCATTCCTCCACCCGAGGTTAGGCACCAGGAGCTGAGGGGAAAGGTGACTCTCCACTCCTGACCCTTAAGCCTTGCCTCAGTGTCAGCATCCAGAAGTTAAAGGTTAGTTGAACGTTGAAACTTGGGCCCACCCAGAGCTGAGGGGACTGTTGGCTGTCCTCACATGGGCCCTCTTGTTCCATCCCCACATAGACATCTAGAGCCAGTTGAAAGCCCTTATGCCTCAGGGCGCCTGGGTGGCTCAGTCGTTAAGCGTCTGCCTTCGGCTCAGGTCATGATCCCAGGGTCCTGGGATCGAGCCCCGCATCGGGCTCCCT